ACGTAGAGGGAACCTTGGAAAAGCGTCAATATGTGACGAGATGGGAGTGAGAATGTGTAGGCAATGCATACTGCTGGTTTGTCTCCAATGTTCACTCTTGTAATTGCATAATCTCCAACTTTTTTATCCTCAGAATCACGCCAAATAAATCTGTGCAGGTGAACTTCTCTTTCTTCCAGCCAAACAGAGTTGTACATTTTCTTTATGTCTCCTAACGCAGTATAAGCTCCCTCTCGGAACTTTAATGGGACGGCACGGATCTGGTTCAAGACATCTGGGCCTTTCATCAGCAGGTCATTCATACTTATCCCCTTAAATTTTTGACTGCTATTCCACACAAGTCTGACAGGAGTTGTCACCGAGTGTGGATTTGGAGCAATTAGGTGGCTTACATACCACACTGGRCCATTCCATTTGTTAATTTCTGCTTCAGATAATTTGATTGCAGCTCCACGCTGAAGCATGTCATGCACCTGTTCAGTGTAAGYAGCTTTCCAGGCAGGTTCTTTAGCCAGCTGCTTTTCTGTTCTAAAAAATGTGGCTTCAACTGCATTTTTGTTGTCTGGTAGAGATRCTGGATCTTCTAACCATGGGTACCTTGCATGCCAGTGAGGTTCRTCTGTGTGGCTGTCTCCTTCATTGTAGGTGAGGCCTTCCTTCACTACTTCAAGMTCCCTTTCTTCAGCAAGCGTCATTTCCTTTCCTCCCGGCTGACAGTTTCCACAACGGCAACCTCCACATTTAGGTTCACAAGCTGCGCCAATACTGTCCCATCTCCACCACTCCAAGAAATCTCGGCTTGTAGTTGCASTATTTGATGATTTGAGTTGGATGGAGACCTGGTGATTTAATGATGGACTTTGTGGGATTTCATGAATGAATTCCTCATATTTCACAGCAGTTGCTCTCATTGACCTTGCAAAATGTGTTTTGGTTGTTTGAGCTGTCATGGTAAGTTCCTCAAACAGTTCTGGATGAGTTCCTCCAACCACTTTTCCTAAGGGGCCATCCCACAGTACAAGGTCCCCCACGACTCTTATTCTTTGTGGTGTCAACTGACCTTCCCTGTGGCTTATGAGTAAGCTTATTTCTCTTGGTCTTACAAGTTCATCCAGTGGTAYGTCTGGAAAAAATCTCTGTAGCTGTTTTGCTTTAACATGCTTATGAATGTCTGCAATGCTGTCAAGTCCATAACAAACAAGCTGATAAGGTTTAAAGGTGCCTCTGGAGGTTTTCACACGAATCTTTAGGAGGTAACGTTTTGTCTCCACACAAGCTTTCATCCCTCCAACGCCATGGACAATGAGTTTTATGTCCTCACTTCTGAGGTTTAATTCACTTGCAGCCTTGTGTGTTGTGTAATTTGTATCTGACGCCAAATCAATTAATGTGCCAATCTGTTGTCCAGCATTTGCAGTYACTTTAAGAAGCATCATTAACACTGGCAGTTCCTGCACTTTACTRTCCATCAGGGAATTTGACTGATTCTGAGTTGTGTTAAAGACTCTAGACACAGTATTTGAAAACACATCTCTACAATGTTTGGCCAACTCAGGTGGCAATTTCTTAAGAAACTCTTCTTGATCTTCTGTGTATTTTCTACTACYTTTGTCTTCTTCTAAACTGGTTCGGGTTCTTCTCTGAACTGTGTTGCTTTCCTTAGCATTAGCACTTGGGCATGTATAATAGTGATGTGGATCGTCCCCACTGCAGCTTTGATTTCTGCACAAAAACCCAGGTTTGCAGCATGATTTATCATCATGTGTTTCCAAACACCTGGTGCATGCTCCCACCTTCTTGACAGCAGCTCTTTTCTCAGTTAATGTTAACGTTCTGAATTGTTTGCAGAAGTAGAGTCTTTTCCTGTGCTTTCCATCGCCACTTTGCAAAAGTAGAGTCTTTTCCTGTGCTTTCCATCGCCACAGACAACACAGCTTGCAAAGTCATCACCTGCTTTGACTGACTTAGTTCTGGCGTGTCTTTGCTCCATTCAGGTCTCTCGTCTACTTGACTCCTCCTCTCTCAGTTGCTCTAGTTGCTCATAAATATTTTCTTGATCCTTCAGAAATGCAAGGAGATGATCAAACCGATTCTCTGGGACCACAGCATTCCTTTTATCAGCTGCATAAABGAGCCACTCCTTCTTCAAAGCTTCAGGAAGCTTAGTCTCAACTAACTTTGTCACCAGAGGGTTTTTTTTTATGGCGCCAGTATTTCCAAGGTCACTTAAATCCTTAAGAGCTTTTTCAACAGCTAGAATCAACTCCACGATTCTTCTTGGCTGGTGACCTCTAACTGCAGGAATTCTCTGTAACTCCTCCACAATTTCAATTGCAATGGCTGTCTGATTTCCATAGCGGTTCTCAAGGACTTGAAAAATATCTTCTGCTGAGCTGTAGGAGGTTAAGCAAAGGTCTCTTGTGATTTTCTCATCTAGACTGTCCAATAATTGCACTTTCTTCACCTCCTGTGAACCAGTTGGTTCTCCTTGTTTTTGAAGTGCTTCCCAGTCCATTTTCCATCTGTAAAAATCACGTTTGTTTCCATGAAACTTWGGGAGGGATGTTGGTTTTAACTTGATGGTGGGTAAAGAATAATTTTGGGACATTACAGTTTGCTCCTTTCTTTTTTCACCTTCTTTTAATTTTGCATTAATGAACTCTGCTGTCCTGGAGACCAGCTTGGGGACACTAAGTTCCAACCCTCTCAGCCGATCTTGAATTTCATCCCGATAGTCATGAGGGATCCATCTTTTCCAGCGGCAATGAGCTTTTTTTGCAGCCTTTAAAAGTTCCTTCAGATGACTGAGGGTGAAGTCATATGCTTCTTTTTCCACTCCTGGTGCAATAGTAGCAACATGTTCACATTCTGATTCAGCTACTTGAAGTGCAATTAACAGTTCAGTTTTCCCAACAGTTCTCCACAGGGTCTCCTGGATTAAACTTTTGACTTCTTTCACTTTTGCATCACATTCATTTGCAGTTTTGTCCAAGTCAGATTTCTGCTGCTCAGTCAATGCAGCTTCTTCATCTTCACCCAATTTGGAGTCCATTTCTGCAATGAGACTTGCTTTCAGATCATCATTCGCTGCCATTACTCTTTCAGCCTCTTTATKGAGTTTGTGGAAACAGTCCTTCAATTCCTCTTCAGTCATGTCTTCATGCGTCCGAGTTATGTTATTGATTAGTCGGGTTAGCGACCTCTTCGCTGTCATTCTCTCCATCTTTAGTTGTTCAACAGTCTTGACATCAGCTGGTTCTGCCATCTTTGAATCAGTCTCAGTTGTTCACAGGCACGAAGCAAACAGATGATCAGCAACTGTCTGTTCTTTATCAAGATCCTTCAATTAATTTATTCCTTCATCAGTTTCCGGGTTTTTCTGTCGCCGGTTTTTACTGTCAAGTTATTTTTTAACTGTGCAACTTCCCCACTTGAAAAGGGATGGATGACCCCATGCAGACTCAAATGACAGGGATTTTACTTGAAGGACCAAACAGTTTTTCTTGCTTTTACTTAAATTTATTTCAGTGTACGAACATGTTCACCGTTGATCCAGAGGATGCAGGTAAAAACCTTTAAACAAATCCAAACAAAATAGTTACTAATCTGTGTAAATTAATTTCACTCAATTGCAAAGGAAATGGCAAATTATATACAGTACGTAGATAATACTAAGCAACAAACAAAATAATCCAAATTAAATACACAAGT